TCACTCGGGTCGCCCGGGAATCTCGCCCGTATGCAGAGGGCACGTTGGACCAAAATCCCGTGAAGGACGAGCCGAGATCGAGGACCAAGAGTGAGTACACTGTTATAAAAATTGTGTGACATTTTATAAGCCTTGGGGGAAGTTTTATTCAGACATGGCATACTAATTTTATAACATGCTATGAAATAAAATATATAACACGTGTCATGAATTTAGTACAGCTTTCTACCGCACGAGAAGTTGGCTCGACAAAAAGTCTCAACGATTATCGAGTACGATCCGAAACGATGATATATGAATATCAGCTGGTAAGCATAGTGATTCCGCTCTCGTTCCCCTCGAACTTCCCCCTCGCCCCGATAAGACCCCTGAAAAGCCCGACAATGCCTGTCTTGACCCCGATCCCGCGTAAATTCTGCGTTGGCGCCCTCCTGCTCAACCCCTCGTGAAAAATCCCCCCCTGCCCTCGTTCCCGACCTCGCCCCTCGAACAGGGTACGACTACAAGAAATATTGGAAAAGGAAAGAAATCGGCATCGACCCCGATTTCCAAGTGCCGACTGACGGCGAGAGAACGAGGGAGTAAGGGGGGGGGGGCTAGTTTTTCGTTTTATCACGGGGGGAAAAAAAACAAAAACTTTTTCATCGAATTTCACCGTTTACTGCCTTTAGTCTACTCCATCCCCCTTAGGGGCGCATACCCCTCCCCCCCCCGTGGNTGCCACAGCTTCCAACCTTTTTACCTCCCCCTCTCTCCCTTTTTATCCCCCCTCCCTCACGCTCTCCACTCATTATAGTTTACCCCTCCCCCGCACCGACCACCGCCCCCGGCTGCCCCACGAACTACCGCAACCCCGGGAAAACCCTGGAAAATCCAGCCCAAACCTAACCTCACCGGCGGCATAAAATGCACGCACGCGTATGCGTGCGTAATAGGCATCGCCTGGCCGTTAGTGCGCAAAATTGTTTATTAAAGGCTTGATCGAAAAGTCCTGTTAAAAATAGCCCTGCGATTATTAACGCTTGACGAGTATGCTGCGGCGCCCGCCATTGTGCTCGAGGCAAGCGATGTTGTTGCCGTTGTTGCGTTGTTCTCGTTGTTAGTATCCGTGGTATCTAGTTTCTTCTTCCTTTTCATCTCTCTCTCTCTCTGTTTCCTTCGGCGCGCACTGATAGGCTCGCCGATAGGATGAGCGCTACGTTTTTCCGCGTGGGTGGCACATAAGAATTATCCTGACACTTTCAAAGTTTGGATAGCCGAAAGAGAAAGAAAAAAATGTTTGACAGCCTAGGCCAGAACCAAATGACGTCGAGATCTCATATTTTGATTTTTTTGCCGTTGTGATCGGAGCCAGGAATAGCGAAAATGTGCCAAGGATGACCTGGATGCGCTTTAAGTTCGAAGATGAAACTAAAAACTCGTATGGATGTATTTTTGAGCATTTCACGTATGTGCGATAAGTAACGCGGCATTGTCGGGTTCTGCCGATATCGTCCATTGTTTAGCGCTCCTTTTTCTCGCGCATCGGTCCATATTAACGCGGAAACCTCTGAGGTCGTTCTCGCTCCGCGTTCGGTGGTTCACTTTATTCGCGGCTTTTTTCCTTTTCACAGGCCGCGCGTAAAATTGCTCATTAAACGCCAATCGGAGAGTCCCGGTCAAAATAGACCTTGATTATTAGGGGTTTACGACCGCGCGACCGCAGCCATTGTGCCGGACCCTGGCGCCGTTGTTGCTGCAGCTGCAGCTGCATTTTCCTTTTATTTTCACGCATCGCACGCACTCCCGTGGCCAGCGGAACAGACGTGATTCCTTTTTTCACTCTGCCGGTACTGCCCGTTTATTTCCCCTTTTACCCCCTTTTTTTTTCCCGCGATTCCCCGCAGCTTCGACGAAGCGCGCTGCTTTTTATTCCCATCGAACCTCTCCTTTCAAGGAAAAATGTCCGTTTCGTTGACAGATCTCGTCGATGACGATCAGCCTTTTTACTTTACCCGGGTAATAAAGCACACATGAATTAGGTAATAACTAGGATACTGAACAATTTGACACCATTAAAGCCATTCTTCTTAAAGGAACGCAATTTATTTCATTTAGTATAAATTGGGAGCTGCAATTATTTCTTTTAATAGCTGAGCATCATACTGGCTTTTGCACGAATTTTGCAGAAACGATAACAATATTTATAGTAAAGGTTTTTACCATTTTATTGTTATTTATTTTATTGTTATTTACTCTAATTTTACATGTGTTTTGAGAGAAGTGCAGTACATGTAGTACGTTTACTAACTTTGTTAAACATTTTAAGTATTTTTGTTTTCATTTCGAGCCTCCATTGTTTCTTGTTTTAGTGCACGTTTATATTAAGAAGTATTCGGAATACCGAAACCTCTTTTTATAAGTATAGAACTCGAAATTGATATCAGTTTCTACATGAAAAATCTCATGAAATAAAATGCAATACTAAAGTTCACGCGTTGAATATTCTACATGAATTACTAGATCTTACATTTAATACAAGTGTATGGACTTAGGAATGTTTTAGCAGTGATTGACTGCCGTAATAACATCTGGCAAGTATTTCATGAGATTCCAGTAGTGAGGTATCTCCCCTGGATTTACTGTACATGTACGCACGACTCATTACCGATGAACGTGTGATCTGTACGTAAATTGCAATTCCACATTCCTCGTTAATTGCATTACAACAACGTGCAATTTAATGATGTATTCATCATATACAAATTATATACAGTTCTACCCGCAGGTTCCACGTAATGTATGTGTAATGCCTTTTTTTTTTTGTTCACATTAACTAGTTTTAGCGAGCCGTTCTCGATCGTTACGTGGAAACGCGACCGTTTCGTTGGCCAGCCTTGTCGACGATGATCAGTTTCTCGGGTGTTTTCCTTTTTACCTCAGACACAAGAGGAGCTATTTTTTTGTCCTTGTCGAGCAAGGGCCATTGTTCCGATGTCTCGACTCATTTAAGGCGATGTGACACACGCTAATTGCCGATCGGGTTTTGCCCCGTCTCAAATGTCTACCGTCTTCAATAAGGCCTTAAGAAAAAAAAAAAAAAAAAAAAGTGACGTAAAAGAAAAAGTAAAAATCGGGACATGATAATGTACCTAATTTATATTATAACCGATAATGTACCTAAATTAATTATATTAGGTTGAGGAATGAGTTCTCGCCGTTTTAATTACCTTACGTTAAGTTAAAAACGGCGGGAAGCAGTAGACAGAAGTTCGGACTTTTAGAGCATGAATGGTTGTATGTTGTTCCAACACAAAGGTCTGACAATGGTCTGTGAAGGATTGAAACATTTTGGACAGCCAGCGATATCGAATTCGCCATTCTGACAGCCCTGCTCATAAACCGGTCGAATTTGCAATTAGAAATGTTTGAAACGTCGAACTTGATACGTCTGCTCGCAATGATTACGGATTTTCGTGTCTTTTTTTCGTCTCGTGTATCTAACGAGAATAGTAATTGAAACATTTGCAATTCGAAATTTTTTAAAAGTCAAACTTGACACGTTTGCTCGCAACGATTGCGGATTTTCGTGTCTTCTTTTCGTCTCTTGTATTTAACGAGAATAGTAATTGAAACATTTGCAATTCGAAATTTTTTAAAAGTCAAACTTGACAAGTTTGCTCGCAACGATTGCGGATTTTCGTGGCTTCTTTTTGTCTCGTACATCTAACGAGAATAGTATTTCAAAAATTTGCAATTCGAAATTTTTGAAAAGTCAAACTTAACACGTTTGCTCGCAACGATTGCGGATTTTCGTGTCTTCTTTTCGTCTCGTGTATCTAACGAGAATAGTATTTGAAAAATTTGCAATTCGAAATTTTTGAAAAGTCAAACGACACGTTTGCTCGCAACGATTGCGGATTTGCGTGTCTTCTTTTCGTCTCGTGTATCTAACGAGAATAGTAATTGAAACATTTGCAATTCGAAATTTTTTAAAAGTCAAACTTGACAAGTTTGCTCGCAACGATTGCGGATTTTCGTGGCTTCNAAAAGTCAAACTTGACACGTTTGCTCGTAACAATTACGGATTTGCGTGTCTTCTTTTCGTTTCGTGTATCTAACGAGAATAGTATTTGAAAAATTTGCAATTCGAAATTTTTTAAAAGTCAAACGACACGTTTGCTCGCAACGATTGCAGATTTTCGTGTCTTCTTTTCGTCTCGTGTATCTAACGAGAATAGTATTTGAAAAATTTCTCACGAAAAAGGTCCACTGATGGACACGAATGCGTTCCCTATAAATATAGCGTCACCAAAACACGATGAATAGATATTCAGGTTCACCAGTGTTCGCCATCGAAGCTAGCATGCACTTCCGATCCATATTTATGGGCTTATGGACTAGGCTTTCGGATATCAAGTAGAAAAGGTTTTGAAGCTGCACCATTTACGAGAAAAATGATTTTTAAGGGAATGTGAAAGTGGTATCCGAAAGCTCTCAATCGTTCATAAAACTTTTCTACGAACTGGGTGTCTCAAATCGTTTGATACTTTAAAACGTGAATATGGGGACCCTAAGGTAGGTCCTGAAACTCCCGAGATTTCATTTTTTACAAACTATTTTTAAACTACCTATAAAGAAATTTGAAAAGAATTGAAATTTCATGACTTTCAGGACCTTCCTTATACTCTTCCTATTCACGTTGTAAAGTTTCAAACTATTCGGTAAACCGAGTTTGGAGAAAAGTGTTATAATCAAAACCTTTTCGGCGCCACTTTCACATCACCTTAAGCCTTCGCCGACCTCGTGGTTCCGTTGGTTTCGCTTTGCCCTAGCACCGAGTTCTTGGAGTGGACGAGAGATCTCGTCCAGATCGTTCTTTGGGGTCTCTTTTGAAACCTTAATGGCAATCCGACCGAGCTGGAAAGATCGAACGACGGGCTTGCCCAGAGAGGGTGGGGATAAAAGTCAAGTCAAAGATTGACGAGGAAAGTGGCTGGAGAAACGACGTCTTTACTCACAAAAATGATTCCCTGGGCCGGCGTAATGGTGACCCTTGTACGCCGCGAAGAGGCCGGGGTTGATGCCGATCTGAAAGCAAAAAACCAACCCGCTATTATTCCCATGATGCGCAACCTTGCTCGCAACACAGCCTCCATTAATTCGCCGTTTCGAGGGTTGTCGAATCGAATCCGATTAAAAAGAAAAACCCGCTTGGGTTTTTCGATACGGCTTCGACTGTGTTTTCTACATCCATTCGCACGAAAAACGTGTCATTGTGGCACGTCGTGTTCAAAGGTGTGAACGAACGCCTTATCAGGGTGGGGCAGTGAGACTTCCTTTTTTTTCGTAAAATACTTAAGGTGATATGAAAGTGTGATGTATACATGCCAAAAAGTTAAAATATTTATAAAACTTCTCCCCAAACGGGGTGCAGGAAATTATCTAAAACTTTATAGCCTCCACATTCGTAAAGTTTGAAACGATTTAGCACACCCAATTTTGGAATTTCATCCATATTCGTGTAATTTATATCACGCATGAAATTTGTAAAGTAAAATACCGAGTAATTGACGGTAAGGAGCTACGTAAATTCCCCAGGGTATTTTATTTACTTAACCCTGCGCCTTATATGTCGGCGACCTGTACCTTCGCTAATTGTAGCACTTGCACAATTTCTGGTACATCGATAAAGTACGTGAATTGTTCGTCTGCCTCGATTTTGAGAAGTGTAAAGGAAATATTCAGGATGTCCCGTTTGGCCGAACAAAAATGACGATTGCACGAGCTCATCGGTATATCGTTTTTCATGAAAAACCTTACGCTTTAAACGAGAACTTGTAATATGCATATGCGAGCGTGCATACACGTGTGGGTTTAATCTCTGTCATGGGTAAATATATATCGAGTCTAGTTTCAGCCGAGTAAGTACGTAACGTTATAGCGCAGAGTTCCATGTCCAGTAATATTTACAATCTTGCAACGTTATACACGGTCATCTTCACCGAGGCATGAATTAATCAAAACCACGAGAATATCGAGTCCCGTAACAGTTAATCACAAATTCGAAAGACCAAGTCTTCAATTTTTTCGGTACAACGCTCCCTCTTCGTGTATTCTTGCTCCACGGCTGAGAACCGAAAAGAAAACAATATAAACAATCGATTAAATTGGACTTTTGGCCGTACTTAGTGCGCAAGAAAATAAATGAAAAACCGACGAAAATCCCGTAGAAAAATGTAAAATAGTGGATGACGAACGTCATCTCCCATAATGAAGTACGCGATTACACGGTTTATCTACGATAACTAAGCGCGTAATGCTAATTACACGGTATGTTATTAAGGAGGGGGTACTTGTACGATGCTTAATGCATTTATATAAATCGTGAAGGTGTAATTTAGATCCATGTCGCCCTCCGTAAATGAATTTTTCTAAGGACACCTTCGCGTCACTTCGAGGCCCGTCGAACGAGAATCGATCGATGGGATCGCGGGTACATTTCGATATATCGCACTCGCGTGCACTCGCCGAGCCCAGAGCGGGTGATTACGCAACGGCACCGGCAAAGCCATCGCACAGGTGTAGTGGGACCTGTTGCGCAACTATATTATCTTCGCTCTTCACTTTACACGTCGGGTAATTAATAACGACAAAGTCCAAGAATAGGCGACAACGCCATTAGGCGCGTCCCCGAGTGCGCGAGACTCGCGAGCGCTCTCGAGAGTACTTTCCCTTTGGGCTTCCTTCATTGGCCGGCCCCACCCCGGGGCTCCTCGCATCGTTCGCGAAATTGTTTAACGACGAGAAAGAGAGCGTCGAGGGAAGGGACAAATGGGACCGGGGAAAAAGAGATTCGTTCGCGAGTCGCCGACGGGGTGGTTAGCGACGGCAGTCTTTAATCTCGCCCTGGCGGTGTATACAGGGTGTCCCCGAAACTGGTAGATGTTAACCCCTTGACATAGAATAACGTCTGGGAGATGTCATTCATTTCATGTGTCATTGTAGACTTTCAGATGCGTATACAGGGTGTCCCCGAAACTGGTGGATGTTAACCCCTTGACATAGAATGACGTCTGGGAGACGTCATTCATTTCATGTGTCATTGTAGACTTTGAGACGCGTATACAGGGTGTTCCCGATACTGGTGGATGTTAACCCCTTGACATAGAATAACGTCTGGGAGACGTCATTCATTTCATGTGACATTGTAGACTTTGAGACGCGTATACAGGGTGTCCCCGAAACTGGTGGATGTTAACCCCTTGACATAGAATGACGTCTGGGAGACGTCATTCATTTCATGTGACATTGTAGACTTTGAGACGCGTATACAGGGTGTTCCCGAAACTGGTGGATGTTAACCCCTTGACATAGAATGACGTCTGGGAGACGTCATTCATTTCATGTGACATTGTAGACTTTGAGACGCGTATACAGGGTGTTCCCGAAACTGGTGGATGTTAACCCCTTGACATAGAATGACGTCTGGGAGACGTCATTCATTTCATGTGACATTGTAGACTTTGAGACGCGTATACAGGGTGTTCCCGAAACTGGTGGATGTTAACCCCTTGACATAGAATGACGTCTGGGAGACGTCATTCATTTCATGTGACATGGTAGACTTTGAGACGCGTATACAGGGTGTTCCCGAAACTGGTGGATGTTAACCCCTTGACATAGAATGACGTCTGGGAGACGTCATTCATTTCATGTGACATTGTAGACTTTGAGACGCGTATACAGGGTGTCCCCGAAACTGGTGGATGTTAACCCCTTCACATACAATGACGTCTGGGAGACGTCATTCATTTCATGTGCCATTGTAGACTTTGAGACGCCGAGAACTGCTTCCGGCCAGATTAAATAGTATTTTTCGGATGCATCAAATTTATTTCTATGTCAAGGGGTTAAGGTGATATGAAAGTGTCACACATATATGTGTATATGCCAAAACGTCAAAATGTTTATAAAGCTTTTCTTCAAACAGGGTGCACCGAATAATTTGAAACTTCAGCACGTGATTATGGAGGCCCTAAGGAAGAACGCGATGCTCGTGAAATTTCATTTTTTAAAGAAAAATGATGTTTTCCTGACTAGAACCCCAAGGACATATGTTTATAAATATTTTGACGCATTATGTATATATAGAATGACTCTTTCGTATCACCTAAAGGTGATTCGAACCGTGTATCAAAATGTGCAAATAATTACAAAACTTTTCTTCAGACAGAGTGCACCGAATCATTTAAATTCATTGTTTTAATTTCATTGATGTGCCCGTGGTCGCTTCAAAACGTCACGCCATTTTGTAGGCTATCATCTACCCATTTAGTATCAGGGGGACCGGAAAGAAATCCATTATTTTTTATACTTACTACTGAGACAAAAAATAATGAATTTCTTTCCAGTCCCCCCCAATATACAGATCAGTGCCCGTGAGATGTCTCATCTCCCCTCGATAACTCGGCACGTAATCACCTTAAGAAAAGCGAAACGCTAAGTTCCGACTGAGAATTTCCTCCAACTTCCACAAGTTTCGGGAATTCCTACAGTTTCTAGGATCCCTGTATACTAGTACGTATACTTGCAGGATCACGCGGAGCGCGAGATCTGCGCGGAGTGACGAAAGCACCCAGATGGCGCGCCGCTCGCTAAAAAATGAACGGGCCCCGAGCGGTGGGATGATACTATCGTTAATCCTAAATTAGAGGCGCGATTAATATTAAAATATTATAACGAGTTCGAACGAGGACGGTTCCCACAATGTTCGCATATATATCGCGGCCGCGTGTGTCGGCGTTTTTACATACGTTAACACAGGGCGGCGCGATACCGCCGGTCTCCCGGTCGCGCGCTCGCGCGCACCCATGAGGCCCCCGCTTCCGCACCGAGCGCGCCACTCGGAATTGTTTTGCATGGGATCGCGAGGGAACGTTTTAATGAATTAATTAATGCGCCGAGAAATAGTTTACGAAGGTCCCGGCCGCGCCTGCGCGACCGCGGGCCACTGTTTAATTAATTGAAAATTAATTATGCCCTCCTAATTATTCACGAGGAAGCCCCGGTGATTTCCGCGCGCGCGGCCCTCCCTGCGGCGTGCAGCACACGCACGGCACACGCACGGCACACGCACCTCCGGATAGAGTTTCGCAATGGCGCCGCGCGTTGCATCGATCCGGCCGAACGAGGCGCCAAGCTCTTCCGAGATCGCCCTTTTTCAAACCCCGCAAAAACCGCGCTTTCACCTCCATTCTCTGCCCCGCGTAGAGGGGAGAGAGGAGGGAAAAAAAAAAGAACTGAAATTTTAAAAACGGTTGAGGTCAGCGAGATGCGTTCGGGCGTCTCCTTATTTGACGTCGTTATTAGGTTTTCTGGGTCACGGAAGTTCTTCCTTTTTTTTTTTTTTCCCCCATCGAGCTGTTCAAACTCCGAATGTGCATGAAAACTAAGGAAAATTAGCCGGCGGCACATTTCGAAAATTTCGCGGGACCCCGATTTTTTGACCTCGTGGTGGAGAAGTGCACAATGCCTGTATAGAGACTGAAATGACTCACCCTGGGATTTTGCTTTTAACTTATGTGTTTGATACAAGAAAATGCAATTTTTTTCCACTGTGCCTTGTTAAAAAGGAACGTTAACATTTTCAGGCGTACGCAATCGATATTTGGAAACCAGACCATATGTACGATAATATATACAGTGTGACAATATATACTATATGACTTCCGAATATCAAATTCGTAATTTTTTATCGCAATTTCAGGGAATGATAACGCGATGTTACAATATTATTAATATATTTAGAATTTGATGATGAATGTACACTAATTCATTATTAAGACATCAAATTTATAATTTTACTAGAATCTTGCGTACTAAGAGTGTACGGATTTTATGGAGTTCTTTTAACAGGGTGTTGTTGAATAATTTGTACCTTTAGAATTTTGAAGAAAAGACGCGTTTATTTCTTTCTCCAGAAAATATGAGAAATGGCTTTTCGCTTTAATTTGGTCCTGTATAAGGAAGAAATTGTTTGACCCCAGGGTATGTAATTTACCGACACAATAAAAGTAAAAACGGGGTCAACGTGCACGCAATCGTATTGAGCGAAAAATTGATTTCCTTTCATTGGCAAGATGCAACGTTATTCGTCGAGTGAGCTACTTGGATTGAATTGACATCGGCGCACGTGTCGGTAAGAGCATATGCAGTTTGTGCGCGCACTTGAAATACAGCAACACGTTTCAGTGATTTAATTTACTCCCTTTGGAATAGAGTATTAAGAGCGGAGTGAGATTTAAACGGTCCGATTGGTGATAGCGGAGCTTGTAACTATCAGTCGTTTAACTACCACTTCGCTTTTATCGACTGGTTATCCGACTGGTTTGCGCGGACTAATGTCGAGTAAAATCAAAATGAGATTTAAACAGCCCATCGGTTCAATCGATGACTGACAGTTGTGAACCTCGGCCCGCTCGTGCTCGACTACTTCACGCGTTTACCGTCGATTAGTCGTTTAATTAGGTACTTCGCCATTCAAATCTCCGGTTTAATCGGATAAGAGCAAAATCTGAACAAATTGAGACGCTGGCCCCCTGAATGTGCACACCGTGGTGGGACGTTTAATTCCTACAAAATGTCTATTTGTCGTCGCAACAAAAAATGTTGCGTCAAATGATTTTCCTGGCAACGAAAAATCGACATTGCGGACGTATTTTGGTATACGTTTGTTTCCAATATGATCTAGTACAACTGAAATCGAGTCGATGGAGATTCTGGAGAGACATGTAGATCTTTTACTTTTTCCATTTTCAAATTTCATTTCCCGGACCATTTTCGAGACCACTGTCACGAAACGTTTTCTCACGATGTTTATCCTTGAATCTTCGGATACGTTGATAAAGCTATCGTACCGCTATTTGAACGTAATAAAAAAAAATGAAGGTACCAAAAAATAAGTGAACTATACATGCCCAGTTCTTCCTGATCTATGTACTAATTGAATGGTCGATATCCTATGAAACAACGCGTCTTTTAATTTTAGATAGTATATGACGTGTCGAATTGATTTACTGGAAGAAAGTAATTCTCAGTTTTATTAAAATATTCACTTAGAAACCTTAAAATACTTACGAGAAAATAAGATAATCTAAGCTCGGCTCAGTTTCGCGCCAAATACATTAAGATGCATGCGCGAACGGCACCGAATATATCTTAAACGTGTACCTTAATGAATTGACAGTTAATAAATTGTTATTGCCGCGATTGACAGATTGACAGTTCAAAGCTTGCACATGCGCACGCGTTACTTCTTTAGTACCATTGCCCATGTGTAGTGGCGCTAGGGTGCCTTGAATTCGTTGAAGCCCTCTCCGCATAGAACAAATAGGTATTAGCCATCCAGTTAGCGTATAGATTATTGCCAATTCCGCATGTACCATATTTATCAGCTTATATAGGTCCCTCCGCCGTTCCGCGCCTTTCTAAACAAATCTCGGAAGTCCCGACGAAATGAAAGAAAATTCTCCGCCGCGTCATTTTTTAATGAAAAGTTCCTGGGTACCTTTTCACGCGAGGCTTTCTTTCGGAGGTCGGTCCAGGAGAAAGTGCCTATCTCTCCGAAGTGGCGAAGGTAACTAGATTACGAGGTCATGGGGCGTCTCTTCGGGTCTTAAGTCGCGGATTACTGGCATCGGTGATGCATACGTGACACCGTAGGTAAGCACGTTTACGCGTACCTAGGTACTTGCAAGGGTGCGCGGTCGGTCGCAAACGAATGGGCATCATAAACTGTGTATCGCATTAACGCGTTAACGCCGATGCGTTAGCCGGTCGGTCGGCACTGAATGGCCGCCGCGGGATAAACGCGGATAAAATGACGAGTACGGAATTGTACCGATTGAAAACAACGCGCGTTGTGTCCTCCCTCCGCCCTCGGTGTTCTGGCTCCCGTTCGATTATACCGTCGTGCTTAATAACCGAATTGCAACGGTGTCAAGCGTTTCGCGCTAAATGACGGATGAACAACGAGTAATTGCTCGTGCGCGCGTACCTAACCCGATATGCCTAAATCCTCTAGCTGCGCCAGAATACCTCGATTATCCCCTTTTTACGGCAATCCACGGCATTCCACGGCTCTTTTTGCTCCGGCTCGCGAAACCGGCGAGGTAGGGCACGAGACTCCTTAAGGTGAAGTGAAACACGTCGAGAATTTCCTCGACGGCGGTAAAAAAGATTCTTCTAAATACCCACATTACCGATACTGGTATTTACATCGTCAGGTGCATCTAATTATATTGGGTATTGCACTAAATGACATGCTCCGTATATCGTTTCCGTACTAAGGAAGGCCCTGACACCCATGAAAGTTCGTTTTTCAAAGAGAATTTTTTTTTTTCATGTACCGTAGAATAGAATCAAAATGGCTTCAAAACATATTTCACGCTTTCATCACCGATTCATGTAAGAAATATCGAGAAAAGTTATATAAGTGCGGGTAGTGAAATTTTAGGATTTTTTATGAGCAATATGTGCTCTGTAAGTACTCCGGAGGCATAAAATAGTTCCCGCAAAATGCAACAGATGGCGACGTAGCCGATTAAAGTATGAAAAATCATAATTTCAAGTTGATTGTTTGGGGTTTACTTTGATCTCTTTGTAATGATTATACCGAAACAACATGTTGAGTACGCCACATAGTTGTCTGAAATTTTAGCACGTGGATTGCGAGCACCTAAGAAATTTCCTGACATTAGTTGATCAACCGAATTTAAAGGAGAGTACCGATTAGCGGACCCCCTACGGGTGAAACCTAATTAGCCAATTGTCAGCTCAACCGTAATATAAAAGGTACTTCCAACAAATGGAGGCACAATTACATCAGTGCCCCCTAGCCCTGATGATGCCCGCTGCAACGCCAGAGAAACGTCGGCAAGACAATAACTTCACACGCGGTTCTCACCCGGAAGACATTTGTACATAAGGAACGACCACGGAAGCCTCAAGACCTGAATTTCCTGGCATTTAAAAATTTTAGGTTTTTTATCAAAATGTATAACGTTGCTAAATTTTATCAAACTGTATAACGTTGCTAAATTTTATCAAAATTTATAACGTTGCTAAATTTTATCAAAATGTATAACGTTGTTAAATTTTATCAAAATGTATAACGTTGCTAGATTTTATCAAAATGTATAACGTTGCTAAATTTTATCAAAATGTATAACGTTGCTAAATTTTATCAAAATGTATAACGTTGCTACATTTTAGAGGACCAATAATTGTTACCGCAACGACACATTAAATTCGACATGAACATTTTTAAGAGTGATTTTAAGTCGCGGGAGAAACGGCGGTTCGAGTGGAAGTAATCTCGCAAGGAACAATTATTGCGGGAGAGCACGCAATTACGATCGGCGGCGACTTAAACGGGCTTTTGCAACCATCGAGCACTTTTCCGGGAAACTTACGATGATGATGTCGAGGTCGCTGGTTAGGTGGTCCGGAAGCACGCGTTTGCTGACTTCCTCCTCCGGCATCCCGTCGAACCTGTCGTGCTTTTTCCTCTCCTTGTACGTTTTCGCACGCTTTTTCGCCTCGGCAAGTTCGGCTCTGAAAAACGGAAAATCATATCTTTTAAGCGTCGCCCTATGAGAAAAATTGTATGTTAACGCATACAAACAGTTATTAGATATTTCCTAATTACCAATGTGACCAAAGAATTAATTTAATCCGGCCCTGATAGCGGAAATGTGTAACGATTAATTCAAGTCGCAAAGTATTACTGCGGCCCCTTTTAGAAACTTTCGTTCCATTATACATGGCGGATTAATAAGTGGTAAGATGAAAGGGCGGAAGAATAATTGGAAACGCAAATGAAGAGTCTAAGTTTGATGCACTTTTAACCGAATTAAAATCCCCATTTGGATCCTATTCTCAATTTCCCTTTGGCACATTGCGCGAGTTAGTTCGGCCCCTCCCTTGAGGTCAGTCGTCGTAACGAGTACATGGTACATGATTTCTTTACGCTTTATTCTTAATGAAATTGCCGGCCGAAAATGTTTGCGGTGCTCTTTTGCAGGTGCGTAAACGAAAATGAATGGCCTTTTGGGGGCTAAAATGGCGGTAGCGAGGACTTTCGGACGTTTTTCTCCCTAACAAAAGATCCCTCTCGATTCTCAACGACGAGCCACTCCTGGCTTTGCTAAGCGGTAAACACGAGGGCTGCTGCTTTTGCTCGGCGTCGAAACCAAGTCGACGTACTTCAATGAGAATCCACAATGAACCTCCCTCGAGAGTCGGCCTTGAGGCTCGTTAAGCGCTAAAATCATCTCCCGTCCTGGTCCAAATTCAAAACGCTCCGAATTTCTTTGAAATACTCCCTCGTTCCTCTTCTGTCAAGGACGGATCTACTACCTTTTGTTTCGAATAGCATGTTCGTTGCAAAATGTAACAGCGGCAATTGCGCGATAATATTAAGTTAAGGAATAATATCTCGCCACTTTAATTGCGCAGCGTTATGTTAAAAACGGCCGGAACTTATTCCTCAACCTAATAATTTGATGTAACCTCTTTGGAAATATTTTTTCTTCATGTTAGAAAATATGCTTTATGCTCATATAGATTACGAGAAATCAGTTTAACGTAATAAAATGAATGCACGATCGATTCGATGCGGAATAAGACTAGGAAAAAAGGGGTAACGATTTTTGTTTCCATAATGGTTAAACACTTAAAGATATGCACGGTTATATTACGATTGTAGGCTTGATGTCTTGGAAATTAGTACATTTATGTACTATATTTATAACGGCATACCGAAATGTTTATGCTGTATCAATATTTTCAGATATTATGGAAAAATTCACGAAACGGTGCGTTTAGAATATTACGTTTATGCGAATGATAACATGTTAGGTGACAATGATAGAGGACGACTCTTATCCCTTAGGTCCTTTCTGCCGTCCTTACGTTCCCGACCTCGGAAACGTACTTTACCAAAACTTTCCCTAACATATGGAAACGCTTTCGAACGACTTTCACCGATCACTGAACGACTTCACGGGGACTTGTTTTAGAGTTTAAAAAAAAGGAAAGACGGATAAACGAAAAGCGGATTTCAAATCGGGACGGACATATGTGCCCATAATTATGAAAGTGGTCTAAGTCATATATTTTTTGTTTCGAAATTACATTGAATTAATTTCGTTTGAAATAATATGGCGTGAAATAACTGATAAACTCATTTTTTTTTTAATTTTGACTTAGACCACTTTCTTAATTATGGGCACATATGTAACTTCACTTAAAAAGCCTTCACACTTTAAGGTGATATGAAAGGGAGATTTCAGTCTCCAAACTGGAAAAATGTTTTATACATATTTTGACGTTATACACGTGCTTATGGAGGCTCTAAATTTCTCGAAAAAAAAAATCTTTTCTTTGGTTCTTGCCCGAGATAAATGGATAATTTTATTTTAAATATGAAATTTCACGTACAGCGCGTTCTTCCTTAGGGCCTCCATAATGATGTGTTAAAGTTTCAGATAATTCGGTGCACCAAGTTTGGAGAAAAGTTTTATAAATATTTTAATTTTTTGGTATGTATATATATCACACTTTCATATCACCTTAATGTGTTAATATAAGATGAACTCTTACTCTTCCGGGGTGAGAATAAGCTCCGACTTTTTCTTGCGACCCCGTTTCTTGGGCTGGTGGGCCAGCTGGGGGTTGACGGCGCCGTTCATGACGCTCATGATCTGGTGGTGCTGCGAGGACAGCGATCCGGGCGGCGTCGAAGAGGGCGTCCCCAGGGCGTCGTGGGCTCCGCCCGGACACGTCATGTTCTCCGGATTTCCGCCCGGACTGCTCGCCGTCCGCATCCCGCCTATCGACATCTCCTCGTCGACGAACGAGTACGGGTCCACCGGTGTCTCGCACTTTATCGCCACCTGCGCCAACAGATAACGATGTCGATTCTTATTGCATAATCGATTAGAAATACTGCTGAATTTCATTTTTGGAACAGTGATTCCAATGATAAACAAAATCCTGGTTATATGTGTCCCGCAATTTGTCGTCGGGTCTTGCCTCTTGTTATCTAATACCTATTTTAACACTATTTCTACCAAAGGTGTCAAAAGACACCTTTTAAAATTTTAACTTGAAATTATTTTAAAAACTTAATAATTTTTTCTCAATTAATGTTTTGAGTTTTCGTGTAATAATTGTTATATTTATTTAGCGGTATCATTTTCCTCCAGCTCGTCAAAACCTTTTGGTCGAAATAGGTATACACAAAATCGTGGGAGAAATAGTGTTAACAACGATTACCACCCTAACGATGCAAGAAGCAACAACTTCGTGGTTTTTCTACTGAAACTTTTTAGGATATGAGAACTTAGCAAGAAATGGGAACGTAATGAAACGTGAAACACTTAGAAGCAGTTTATTTATCTTGTGTAACGTGTATCATATTATCGCCATATAAGACGATGAACTGTGATACTTGCGCGTGCCCTGATAAGAATGCCCATGTAAATTTACATACTCAATGATTGGTTATTTTGATGCCACGATAAATTGCAGTATAATTACATTGTCTTTGTAATATCACATTCAGTATCCGAGTTAAATTATAGAAAATTATAATGTAATGTTACATTGAATTCAAGTAAAAATGCATCGACACGGTAAATATACAAGGCTAGGTGTATTTACACATTTTCTAATTTGCAATTCTTCCGTTTTACGTTTTTCCGTGTGTAACTCAAGTTACGAAGTGTGTAAAAATGTATGTAAATTTCTCTTCGGCGATTGTTTCCACCGTTAGAGATGTAGGAAGTGAGTTTTTCTGAAAAGTTAAGGTCGTAGAAAATACACGGCAAACTCGTCGACGCGCGTAACCGGGAATTTCAAAAGTCGCATACGTGGCTTCCGGCGGCTCCTTTCAATAACGTCTTCCGATTACGTTCGAAAAAAAGGCCCAACAAAGCATGTACTCGCAACAAGGATACAAAGGCACTGGTTGCATCATGCATTACGATGCGAGTGCGTGTAACCAGCTACGGACAATCCGGGTGTCCGACACGTGTGAACACGTTCCAGGAATTTCAAAACCTTCGACGACGTCATTTATGCGCCGAGAACTCGTCCTGGCAATTACGACCGTTGTGCAATGCGAGACAGGAATAGCGAAAAAGGAGAGACAACCTTAGCGAGATTTTTCACCGGTCGTCGATTATCCCTTTTCGGGTGGCAGTTCTTCCCAACTTTCCACGCGAGTTCCTATCCGTTTATTGTTACTCTAGTTCTCATCAGGATACATGTTTTCTGTCATTGAACACGGAGCCATTTCGACATATGGACGAAATTCGTCTGACCGTGCAGGCAATATTGGACCAAACGTCGGGCGCCTTTAGGCACTCTTAGTACCCAAATAGTTAAGGTGATATAAAAGACGCTGAGAAATTTAATCGACTTCGATAAACGAAAATTCATCTGTCCCCCTTTTGGTGGTAATGCCATTTTCAATACTCAAGTGTAACGTGTATCATATTATCGCCATATAAGGCGGCGATAAAGAGTTTCACTGATTTTATATTTATTGATTTCTACATTTCGTCATTTCTTTATTTATTTATTTTTTTTTTACTAGTTCATTAAGCCTTCACAAGTTGCTGCTAACAATTATTTTCACCGGTTTGTTCCTTAAAAATGTGGAAGTTTCGCGTAATACTCCAACATGTATGTGCGGTATTGTTCATCGAGCTTGCTGCGGTTATTTCACAAAATACGATTTTTTTTTAGATTTAACCCAAATCGATTAAACGGTTTGGTCGCTAAAATGAATACCACGCGTACATTGGAAATGTTTTTGTTAGGGGACGAAATGTAACAGTTTATTGTTTCGAGCCTTTTTCCAGGAAGTAACGAGTTTTGTAATCGTACATGTGTAGTGCACTGCGTACTACGTGCTCGTGTTAAAAATACAAGGGAATAATTCCGAGAAAATAATCAGAGGGAAGACGTTGAATATTCAAATTCAACGACCATTTGGAATGCGGATTATTTGCTGAAAGTTACAGTACCGATAATGAAATAGTATATCGTGGACGGCGAAAATTCACTCGGAAATCTGACGAAACGATTTTATTCTTTGAGAACTGTTTCCTATTGATTTCATATAATAATCAGCAATACGATCCAGTGATTTCATGCATTCTGCAACCATGTTTTGGTGATTTTCAACATTTTCCTGGGATTACACAGTGATTTCCAATATCATTTTGGCGATTTTTATCAATTTTCGTTCATTTTATTATCATAAGATTTATTACTGATTTCTAATAACGTGAATCTGTTTAGAGATTGCGCTTGCAATAACTCGTAACGCGGACGTTTTTTAAATGTAATTGTCAACATCAATAATTTAAGACATATTTATGTAATACCCTGTAATTTGATTCAACTATATAAGGTTCCACTTTTTTACGACTGCAACAATGCAATGAACTCATAGTACATTTCTCAATTAGTATTACTCCGTCTTCCTTCAATTGCTGTAATAGTAGGAATATTTTCATGTCTAATTTGCACAAATAGAACCATCATTCTATTTTGAGATCTTTCAAGCTTGATTCGATTGAGACATTTCGATGACTTGGAGATTCTACTGAGGAAAATGAATAATTATGTTTTTTAGAGAAGCAAATCAGACTGAAATTTCTGTTGCCGGACTAAATAATCATAGTGCTTTAAATCCTCAATTGCGATCGATAATTGCGATTCGGGTTTTTAAGAGATTTGCGCGCTCGTTGCGAATGGCAGTAGTAAAATCTTGGTTTTAGTCAGACAAAGAAACGTTATCGAAATAGCGCCAATCGATAATTATTGCACATTCATTTCGCAATATAAACATCACCGCAGATTTATCCACGAAAGTGTGGACCTTTATCGTACATTCGATCGGTTAATTTTGACCCAATATTTTCGGGCACGAAAATCAAATAAGGCCTTGTATGTCGAAGTAAATGCATTTGCGTAGCCAAAACAAGTATGGGAAAGACAAAACACAGTTTTTGCCGCGTTCTTTTTTTTTTGGAAAAAAAAAGAGAACGCATAGATCGAATGGGATCGGACAAAAAGCGTCAAGTATGATGGATAGCAAAATACACGGATGAAAAGAAATGACTGCCACTCGTTTTGGAAATGTAACTAGATTTACAGCAAAGTTTTATCCTGCCCCGTTGAAAATGTCAGTTCAAGTATAATGTACACGTAATCGAGGTTGAACTACCGTTTCTTTTTTCAAAAGTTTCTCGTACCATTTTCTTAGAGATTTTAATACATAAATATGCGAATTTCGAAGTCCTTTGTTTTCTAATTTTCAATCACATGGACGACACAGTTCGCAGGTTAGAAAAACACATTCGTATTCGGTGTATATTTTAGTATACATTTGTATTCGAAAGTATTCGTAATTCTTGCTCCAGTAATCAGGGTAATACTATCGGTTCATTCATTTATCACTGTCGGCGATTTCTTTCCCGCGTTATCTCGCAACCGACAGGCATGAGGGAATCGGTAAAAAAAAAAGAAAAAAATCTTAAACCAGTTAAGGAAATTATTGCAATTTTTGGAAACGTTAAATCCCCCAGCCGGGGATCCGGTTTGCGCGTTTACTGCGCAAATGCACACACGTGGAAAGGTACCATAGGAACCGACCCTAAGGTCATTGCACATTCGAGCGGCAATTTGTACGGAGTCAAACGTGGGGGAATATAAAGAATTCTTTATCGTCCGCGTTCGCCAGAGACTCGTATCGTATCGCGACCTCGATTCGAGGTTATCGATAGGTCAAGAGCATCGACCTTGCCCGCGTCCGGTGAGAAACGACCGATCCGATTGGTCGAGGGAAAAGTGCTGCCGATTTCCGAGCCGTGTCCTGGGTATCGCACTTTATTCCCGTTCTCCGATTAATTTTCACCCACCTAACGAGTCATTTAAATGGACGAGGCCGCGCGCCTTATCTTGCCGTATATTATAAATCTACATTGAGATTAATTTATTATTTCTTTTTCGAGATTTCTTTAGTCTTCTTGATAGACACCAAGAAGTGTCAGGAACGACAACTCGTTCTCCGCTGCGTTAAACTTCACTTGCACCCTTTTACTACCTTTTTTCAATAGTTCTTATTGAAACATTATTCAAGTATCAAAGTGGTGAGCACTGGTGTTACATCTTTATGTTCATTTTGTACTTAGAATTGAATTTCTGTTCGAATTAAGGGGGTGCGAAGGGTCGTTCATGAAATTTTTCTCCAAACTGGGTGTACCGAATAATCCGACATTTTTCGTTCAACCTGTATATTGGTTACAAGTCTGACAAATTTTATATTCATTTCCGGACGAATCCAAAATTAATACTATCCGTTGTGCCTTTACGTATTCAACTTGTACTTTCCATATTCATTAAATTTTTCTAATTAATAAGTATCGTTACATCTGCTCCGAGAAGTGTTACAATCGCTAATTTTTCTTGAACTTTTACAGCGATAAGGCCTGAACCATTTTTTAGTGGAAGGTTTAGTTAACATGTGTACTCAGTTCCAATCGTGAAATTCCATTACTATCAATTACGGAATTAAAAGTGTACAAATTGTCAGAATTGTCCTCGGTCTTCTCTACAGTCAATCAAGCGATATCATTTAATGAACTAAATTTTGTCCTGTGGTGTTCCACGTCACCTTATAGGAACATCCTGAATTCAGGTGAGGAACGAAATCGGAAGGTATGCCAAAATGTCGGCTAGAAAATCGGCCTAAACTCTGAAAATTCCCATTTGACCATTTTGACTTGCCGAGTCGCCAAGAGAAATTCTGGAAAGTCGACAGCGAGAGGGGAAAAGTTTCGAGAGGAGCTCCTTCCGATTTTTCTGGCTCGTTTGACGG